ATCAGGTTGTTTTCACACTTCCAATAGTACAGAAATTGCTCAAGATTACTTCAATTGTAGCAAAATGAGGAACAACAAAGTTTACACTGACAAGAAAACTACTGTTTCAAGCCTATCTAAAAAGGAATCAAATATAGGGGCTTATAAAAAAAATCTAGCTCATCCAAATAATAAAAGTACACTTAATGGAGATGTTTGATAAGATATGGAAGGAAGACAATTTACAACACATTATAAAATTTAATGCAAATCCCGCAGTGGATTCTCTGTAGTTAATAGATAACCTGTATTTAATACTGGAGACCTCATTTTACAGAATGATAATAATAAAGATGTTTCATTCAAGTGGTATAGCCACAGATCAACCATACAAATAAAAGCACCCTTATCTGTGTGCTAAACTCTGCATGGCGATCTCTCAACATACCTCTTACTGTTAGTGCACATTCATTGAAAAAACAGAGACAACTACTTGTTCTGTGAGCTAAAAAAAAATGTCAAAAGCTATCTCTCAGCTAATGACTTGGCTTCATGATGAAACTTCCAAACTATATTTTGTCAGATCCCGTAAAGAACTTTTACGAATTCAGGAAATAAAAATGAAAGACACAGCAGCATTACATTAAAAAATTCAGTAAGTTTTGGGTAAAGGGAACTAGTAGTTTGGCACCCAGGCCTCTTAGGACTTCCAAATATTATTGCAGCATCAATGCATTTCATCATTTGAAGACTACAAATAAGTGTAACTAGAAATTTTAATGTACTAAAAAATTCAGTAAGACCTTTACAATTAAAAATCTTCTGTTCCCAGTAAGCAAGAGTCAAAATTGCTTCATTTATAATGCTTTTATCACATCAACAATACATGAAAATCATGTTTATTCATTAACTGCTGCAGCAGAGCTACCAAGGTAAGATTACAGTTACTGTTACTTGGGAACTTCAAAATGGCAGTTTTAAAATTCTTCTGTTATAACCCAAATCTTCCACAACACAAGATTCATGAAATTTTGTTCCTCAGAAGAATGAAATTTTTTTTCAAAGCCATCAATGGATGAGGTCTACTATATTAGAGACCACAGGTACACTTTTCAAAAAGACCCAAGTCACTTAGAAGCTTGAATCCCACTGAAAGCCAATGAGGTTTAAGCTCCTAAATCACTCTTCCAAAAATAGCATCCTTTATCTTCTCCTAGCACAAGTTGCCAAGTCATTTGTACTCCTCCAGGACACTGCAGATCACAGATTAGACTGCAGGATAAAAGACAGGGACAGTGTTTTCAGTCAAGCAGATCTGAACAAGAAATGAACATTCAGAGAATATTAGATAAACATGAACTCTGACCACTTCAGAAAAGACACAGGATCTTTTACTTCCATTAAAACAATCCTTCTACCGTAAATAGTATGATACATTATCAACTAGACTTTACTTCCTGCAAAATAATTAGGGGTGCACTGATAAAGATTTTTTGGGCTGATACCAATGGCCAATTATTAACAAGCCTTCTCAGCCAATATTGATCTGATTGCCAATAAGCAGCCTGGCAGCTTAAAGAGCAGCATCTGGCTGGTAAGTTGGTTCTGGGGAAGGGGAAAGGGCATGGGGAGAGCAGATTGAGGCAGGGAGTGGGGCAAATGCTGCCAAGCCACGGTGGGGTGCAGGACTGAGCCACAAGCAGCTTCGCCATGGCAGTGGGGGTGGAGGGGGCTGCCACTGCTGCACACACTTCCAGGGAGTCATGCGAGAAGCCAGGCTGCCACTGTGAGCTGGAGCTGGGGGCCACTTCCCGGCAGGGGAACTGGGCCAGGTCTGTGCTTGGGGCAAGCAGTAGCAGCGCTAGGAGGAGCAGCTACGGATGGGTTGGGGGAAGCTATGGAGAATTTTGGGGTGGCCACAACCCCCTACACATAGCCCCCCTTCCCAGTTCCACCACCCGCCTTGAGTGCAGCCCCAGCCCAACCCGCCTGCCAGGAAGAGCCTGGTGCCACCCCTGGCTCCAGCCCACAGCAACAGCCTGCCCTCACCCTACGCACAGATCCAGGGAGCATGCATCTTCCCATGCCTTCACCAAGGTGTGCACAACAGCAGGAGCTGCCCCCCACCCCGCCCCGTGCTCCTCCAATAAACCGCTCAGAGCTCTGGCCCACGTCCCACCCCAGCTGGGTAACACCAGCTGCAGCTCCACTCCCTCCCACACTGCAAGGGCCTCAATTTGCCCCCCCCTCCCCCACCATGCCCTTTCCCCACAATGGGTATGTAAATCTAGGACTACCCTGAAGAAGTCTCTAGTCATTTATGAGAGACAGAAGGAAAGAATGAAAATGCTAAAAAGATTCCAATCTCCCACTAAAGTTACTGATAAATATTTCCATGTATCTGCAATATCAAAAGATGCCCCCAAAGAAAGCACATAAGATCAGAATAAGTAGTAATAAACAAAGTTAATGGTGGGGGGGCAGGGGCAGGGGAGATCTTAAAACATGACACGTATAGTATTGTTCACTCCTTCAATATATTGTTACTGAAAAGAACTATGATGCTTCCTGTACATGCCGGCTCCACAAAAAAAATTCTCTCTTAGAAAAAGGAGACAACACGGAAACAAAAAGCACATCTGACTTTATTTTAACACGACCTTTGTTTTCCAAATACAAGTGAAAGTTTCTTAAAGACGACAGAGAACAAAGTGTTTCATCTCCCTTATCTTGGGAATAAGTTCTGGACCAGAAGGTACTAAGTGAGATGTTTCAGAGGTTGGACCTAGGCAGTCCCACTTTGTAAAGGGCCTAGGTTCTCCTTGACAAAGTGTTGGAAGACTTACCTCCAGTGGAGCAACCTCCTAGCTTCATGCCAGTGCAAAGTTAACAAAAGGAAATTACTCAGCTACCTATCCTCCTAGTCTATCTGACAGCAGTAATACCTAGTGAGCTGGTGTCAAAAAGAAATAAGTTGGGAGAGTATTTTCCTGTTTTAAAAGGGCTTTAATCTATCCAGATCAAAGGCTAGGGTTATTTTAACTAACAGAGGACATGGATAGGGATATCCTTTTCATTCAAAAAAGCTCATCAACAGAAGAGTCCCTTGGCAAATTTATGCATATTTCAGAGACCAGTTCACATTCAATGTTCAAATGTAATAAGATTACTATTTTTAAGAGTTTTATTTGCCCAGGTGTTTATTCAGGACCCCAAAATCTATCTGGGTCAGAACTGTTTTGTAATTTTGACTACTGAAGTATACCTGAAATAACACCTTAATTTTCACTTAGTGCCATGTGTTCCCTTAGGAAAAATGAGATTTATTGCAATATCTGATGGCTTAGGAAGAAAAGAAAAAGGAAGGATTTTCAGAAAACTTTAATGCTTGGGACCCAAGTTTTGTCTGGCACTATATATTACATGAAACACATGAATTAAAATCAATGCCCATTTCAAATGGGCAAGTCTTGGAACACTACTGATAGCAGCAGGCAAACTTGACCCTGTACGACACTTTAAAAACCCTCACATTTTCAGTGTTTGCTAAAAAAAGGAATTACGACCTTGAAAGGTCTGGCTTTCTACAGAGAGATTTTGCCATCCCTCTCATGAAGGGAGGGCATGAGAAGCAAGATATAAGCTCTAAAAACAGGCCTCCCACCTGCTTTCCATCATACAGCTAATCTTCAACTTCTCTCAGTATTTGACCATTAAAAGCATCTTAGTACACAGCTGCAAACCTTGATCTTTAGCCAAGCTTCCATAGCCAAGTCACAGGGAGTTATGGGAAGAGGCCTCTAACCTGACCGACCCAGACACCTGATGCCCAGAAGACCTGAAAACATCTATTCCGAAGCAAGTGACCTCACAACTACACCATCCGCATCCAAGGCTAAACCACATCTTGGCCCTTACAGAAGCTTTTTAAATTCCCAACGTTTCTCTTGTGAAAGAAAACAGACCAGGTTGGATGCCTTCTTCCACCATGCCACAGCCTTTGGCCTGACAAGCCTAGTATTCCACAACTCTAACCATTACAGCTATGAACTGGTAGATTTTTCTAGCCAGTAGTACAAATGTGCTTTCTCCTCGGTCAAATTTTAAATCACCTGGGTGTTTTCCTGATTACATTTTAAAAGCCAAGAGTGAGAATCCTGTCATATGGTACCATTTAAAAACATTTTTTTTTTTTTTTGGGGGGGGGGGGG